ATATTAGCTTTAAAATCCTTCAGCAATAAATCACGCAGCTCGAGGTCGCTGAGAACACCGAGGACACCGTCAGACGTAGGTGACATCTTTTGTAACGTCAATTATAACATACTCGGGTTAATTTTGAAAATATTGACGATTGGCTAGCTAGTTGCAAGCTTTCTTGGACTATTTAGGATGTAGGAAATATTACTTATTGTCTTACATACAGCTGTTTAGTAGAAAGAACTTTAGTTAGAATTCGAAAGCTGTTTCAATCCTTTTAAAATTAAGCAACCACAAATTATGCTGTTTGGTAGAAAGAAATCTGGAAGCTGCTTTAATTTTGAAAATAGAGCCGTATAGCAACAATGATGATCATTACTTGCGCTTTGAAAGAAAATAAATTTGTCCGAGTTGTTAGTTAATCTCCTAATTAAAATTGACTATTCTCCAACAAATCGACGATACTAGCTTTAAAATCCTTCAGCAACAAGTCACGCAGCTCGAGGTCGCTGAGAACACCGAGGACACCGTTAGACGTAGGCGACATCTTTTGTAACATCAATTATAACATACTCGAGATATCGTTAATTTTGAAAATATTGACGATTGGCTAGCTAGATGCGAGCTTTCTTGGACTATTTAGGATGTTGGAAATATTACTTATTATCTTACGTACAGCTGTTTAGTAGAAAGAACTTTAGTTAGAATTCGAAAGCTGTTTCAATCCTTTCAAAATTAAGCAACAACAATTACCTGCAAATAATTATCACTACTTTGTTATCTTCACGCGAGCAAAATTATGCTGTTTAGTAGGAAGAAATCTGCGCAGTGAAAGAAAATAAATTTGTCCAAGTTATTAGTAATCTGCTAATTAAAATTGATTTCCTGATAAATTTTCCTATTCTCCAACAAATCTAGCTTTATACGCTTTACTTTTTACTTTGCCATTTACGCCATTTTGCTTATTATTCTCAGCCGAATGCCAGACTACTGAATACACAGCTTGGTCAAGCTGCTCGGTGACTTGTGGCAAGGGATTGAGGATGCGAACGAGATCGTATCTAATGCCTGAAAAAGCAGCAATGTTCAAGTGCAACAGGCAGTTAGTTTCAAAGGAAATGTGCGTCTCGTCGATCCCGGAATGCTCGTAAGTACATCGAGAACGTGTCAGCTACCGATTTCCCGAACCCTTCTTGCACAATGACATCGATAAATCAAACGTACAAATAATCTTAGATATTCGTTATACGTTCATAGAAAGTTTCGAAAAATATAGGAAATGTTATTCGAATTTCAACATGACAATTCATGACAAACAGACTCCATATTTTTCTCGAGCTTTACACAAATATCCGCAGTCTGTTCATAACTCGAATAATTTCGACAAACACCGTGACATCGTAACGTCTGATTTCAGTGGCGAAGAGGAGACGGACGACAGTGGTTTGCTACCAGCTTTTAATCCTTATTGCGAAACCACTGACTGGGGCCATTGGTCCGAATGTTCCTCCACGTGCGGCCCGGGCTTGAAGATGAGAACGAGGCGGTTCAAAGATCCGATGGGTCGTAAACGATGCCCTCACGTATCCATCGTCGAGAAAGTAAAATGCATGGAACAAGCGTGCCTGTTCGGCTTGGAGGAACAGATCGATCCTACGTGCAAAGTATGCTATCTGCTATCGCCATCGTTCGTGTTTCGCAGCCCGCCTCGAGCACTACATTCAAACGTTTAGATCACGTTGGATAGTTGGGGTATAAGACGTGAAACTCATTTCAGGTGACTGAGTGGTCCGATTGGTCTCCGTGCAGCGCTTCCTGCGGCAAGGGGGTGAAATTGAGAACCAGACTGCTGATGGTAGACCCGTCACTGCAGCAAGAATGCTCCTCTAAATTGGAATTACTCCAGCAACGTCCTTGTTTGGAGCAGGCCGACTGTACCTTCGACATGGCCACTGCAAAAGGTGAACATTTCGAAACAACGCGGAGATTCGAGTTGACAGTTAAAACGGGCCCAGTCCACGAGAACCGAAGTTTCTCGCTTCTCCTGCGTCTTTGTTCTTTTCCTTGTCCAATCTAAAATATTTTGTAGAAAATTACGCAAGTACTCTCTACTATATATATATATATATATAT